AATCGACATTTTTAGCCATTTGAAACGTGTACTTTAGTCTAGAGAATTTAATTAAAAAACTCGAAATTTTAATGAAAATTTGTAGATTTTTTTTTTAATTGCATAAATTTTTAAGGCAGTGTCACTCGATTGGTACATTTGTACAGATTTGTAAATTTTTATATTGGGCTTTTGGTAAAAAAAGTGGGACATTTTTTTTTGCATTCAAAAGATTTGTAAAATACAGCGATACTCTATTGAAAAATTTCAATAAATTAATTTTCGTGATTGGGATAGTGAAAAATATTTGTTCAAACAATTGGGATACGATTTACACCAAATTTTAGCAAATACCCAATCGTGTCACTGCCTTTAAACGTGTATTTATACGGATCTTGGTAAAGAACGAACTATAAAAAAACTAACCGAAATTAAATAACAACAAAAATAATATTTTAAAACTGGTCAAAATTTGGTGCGGCTATAATTTTTTCGACTACTGTACATAAGTTGGCTATGATTACTCGGCCGTGCTATCACAGTAGCACAATGCCACTCATATTTGACTAACAAACAAGCTACGGGCAGGAATTTCAAGATTTCAACCTTGTTTTTATGAAAAATTTTATTTTTATCAGTATTTTTCTTTTAATCAAAATATGTTGAAATAAAAGTGAAACTAAACAAATTTTGCCAGAACCAGAGAACTGTATGAAAATGTAAAGCGTGACGTCTCCAACTTTGTAATTTTTTGGCAGCAACAAAAAAAAGTTTTGATTGTTTTTTTTTTTTTAGCGAAAAACCTTCCACACTGAATTTCCAAAAAGTGCGATTGGTTACGGTTGAACACACTTAATTGAATGTAAATAAAATTAAGTTCGTGGTTATATCATGGCGAAATTTTGAGAACAGTCCGTTGCTAGCTCCAAATATAAACAATGACGCACTGGAAAAAGTATACATTGAAATATCTAGGAATAATGATCGACGATAAACTAAAACAAAAAAAAAATATAAATATGTACATCGGTGAAAACTGCATTTAATTCCACTCTTAAATTAGTGCGTGATGCGCTTACAAACATACAGGCAGACAGACCAAAATTATAAAAATTTTAGATTTGGCTTCTGTTGATCTAATAAACCCCCTATTAATTTCTCTTTAACATCTATGATGTACAGATATCGGCCTGTTGCAATTTTATTATTCTCAAATACCATCGTTTGATACCCATATGGCAACATTAGGTTATCTTATCAATTTAACTAAATTAAAGTTTTCAAATAGGTGGCAACCCGCTTCAAAAATATTTTCAAAAGTAAGCTTCCTAATTCTCTTTACTTTAATGACCGTATTTTAATATTTCAAAATTATTTTACAAATTTAAATGAATAAAATTTTTCAAGCAGTTGGCAAATCCGCTAAAAATATTTTCGGCATTAAAATTTCTAGCCTCTTTAGTTTGCAATTGCAGTATTTAATTTATGTTATCAGTTAAATTAACTTAAAGTTTTCAAATAGGTGGCAACCTTCCACAAAAATATTTTCAGCTGTAAACCTTTGTAAGCCTCTTTCTTTTGACAGTCATATTGCAATATTTACTTTATCGTATCAATTGACCTAAGTTTGAATTTTAAACACAGGTGGTAACCCTCTATTTTTTTCTTCTATATTGTAAGCTAGACCTCTAGCGATACATCAATGAAATCTGTATTCAATTCCATGCATTAGTTTTCGAGTGATGCGCGTACAAATATACAGACGGACAGAGTCAAAAATTCCAAACATTTTTAATTTGGCTTCTGTAGGTCTAATAAAAGCCCACCACATTCATTTTTCTTTAATATATATAAGGTACAGACATCGGCCTTATAAAAATTGTCTTATAAGTATAGATATGGATTTCATTTATTTTATCAATACAATACAATTTTTCAAACCCCTGGCAACCCTCCTCAAAAATATTTCTGGCAGTAAAATTTCCTAAACCTCTTCAGTTTGATACAAATATTTCAATATTCAATTTATCTTATAAATTAATTTAAATTAAAATTTCCAGACAGGTGGCAACTCTATAAAGATATTTTTATTAGCAAGTCTTCTTAAGCCTCTTTCCTTTGGTGCCCATATTGCAATATTCACTTTTTCGTATCAATTTACTTAAACTACAATTTTCAAACAGGTGGCAACTCTCTAATTTTTTTCTTTCTATATTTTAAGTTAGGCCTCTACCAAAAAAGTCGGTGAAAACTGCATTCAATTCCATTCATTCGTTTTCGAGTGATGCGCGTGCAAACATACAGACAGACAGATGAAAATTCTAAAAATGGTTGATTTGGCTTCTGGTGCTCTAGTCCCCACATTAATTTTTCTTTAATAGCTATAATGTACAGACATCGAGTTGTTACAATTTTATTATATGTATAGAAGATAATGCAATTAAAAACAAAACCTTTTATAAAGTTAATCAACTAATAAAAAATATATCCAGCCATCTAAAGATTCGGACTTTCAGAATTCTGAGTTGTGACCCTCATTATGAGTTCAAAAAAGAGTAAGATAAAATCATATCTCGCTTCCTACAACGCCAATACGAGTCCAAGTTTAGAGTCACATTAGAGTCTGAGTCTCAAAAACAAATACTCTTTAAAATTCTGATTATTAATCAACTTTTACTTTTACGTGAATATTATATGACTATAAAAGAGCCCGAAATGAGTCAGCCTGGTTGACTGGTCTCAGAATCATATTTATGACGAAAGAAATACTCATTTTAGACTCATAGATTCTGAGCAGTCAGAAAATGGTTTAAAGGGAATTTAACTGAAAATTCAAATCAAAAGCTTCCAATAAAAATAAATAATGGCCCTGATAAGTAAATTGCAATTGCTTTTTCGCTATGTTTCAGATCTTTTACTCGATTCATCCAAATAAATTTTAAGAAAAAGTTCCTTGAGATTGCTTAAATTTATTTAAGATAGAATTCGTCACATTACATTTACATATGTACATGGGTCATTTCCAAACAAATTGTGCATGACAGGTATTTTTTATATTTTGTTTAAGATTGCTGAATTTATCCTCTGAAATCGAAATAATACGAAAATGCTTTCAGGCTCTTCAAAAATTAATTTTTTTCATATTTTTAATTTTTGTAAAATATTTTCCAGAATGTTACTTTTTATAAAAGTAAGCTAAAATAATAAATAAGTTTAGAAACAGGTTTTTTGTTTAATCTTTTCCAATATATGCTATTTGAAGACTTTTGGAGAAATCAGTTATTTAAATAAACAATCCCCTTTAACCTAAAAGTGACATTCTGGAAATATTTAAAATTTTTTGTTTTTTCTTAAGAGATTTATTTAACGAAGTTATAAAGATATATTTAGTTTTTTTGCATAAAATAGTGGGTGACATTCGGGAAATATTTCGCCGTACTTACCATGATGCAACAATAAACTCTTCTTGCGCTTCTTAACTGCAATGCACTTAGGCAAGCAAAACTACTAATGTAAATATCACGGCAAAATTAAAAAAGTGGCATTCTGCTAAATTCGAAAATTCGGAGGGACAATATTATAATAGAAAACCACGTATAATTGATTTTTCGTTTTCTACCACAATAAAAGAATTTAAAAAGGGGGGGGGGGACAAAAAATAGCACTCTGTTTGGAAATTACCCACATACATACAAACATATATGATTTTGTTAGACGAAAACGGTTATCTTCAATTTCAGGCAATTTGTAAGAATTGCTGACTTACATATTTAATATCTTAGGGTTGCATAAACTTTAATTTTTGTTGCAAATGTATTTCTTATGCAACTTTTTCATTTCATTATTAAGTTAGCGAAGCAAAAAGAAAAAGTCAGTTGATACCACATTCCCCTCAAAAAAAAACTGGATGGGCCCAACTGTCAGAAAACTAAGGCAGAGCGTAGTAGTTTTCTTCTGGCGAAAAAGGATGCATACATCGGCCCTATTAAATTCATCAGTTGAATATAACGAAAAGAGAATTAACGCGTTCTAATTATGGTTCTAAAGCAATTATAACCGCATTAGGTTGGCACTGGGTAATTTTACTACAACGTATAGATCTCGAACAAACCGACGTACAAAAATACATACATACATACCAAGCACTAGGGATGTTAATCCCGGGATCTCGGGATCCCGCCCTTTTTATGGTCCCAAATATCCCGGGATTCTTGCAAACAATCCCGGAATTTTTGAGTTTTGTAAATTGCGCTGTTGGCAATAATAGAAACTCCTTTTCTTGACCATTATTGGCTATATTTTAAATGTCTAGCTCATTATACATATAACACCGCGATAGTAAATTTTACACACAGAAATCAATATATTCGCGAAACTACGGGCCAAATATAGTAAAATTGCGCTTTTAGTTTTTCACTCTGACGTCAGTAATTCAAAAATGATTTAAAAAGAAGAAGTATGGGTATAAAATTAAAGAGGAAATTCTGTAGAATTTAAACAGATTCAATTTTTTGGTGCATAACAACCGGTAAGTATTGATATTGTCCTTTTAAAATTTTGTCCTTGAAATTTCGCAATATTAGTTTTTGAAAACATTATATGTTAAGGACTTATATAAACTCGCTAACATCCTCAAATTTCGTCCTTCTAACTTGATCAGCTTAAAAAATTACCTATTCGTCCTTGTGAATCCAAAAAATTTTAATTTTTTTAAATTCTAAAGAAATTTAATCTTTCATTTGGTACCCATGTTTTTATTCCACATTGCATTAAATTTTTGGAATTAATCATATCTCTGAAATTACAAGATCCTTTCAAATAAATCCTGACGTCAGAGAGAAAAAATAAAAATGCCGCTTTAAATAAAAAAGTAGTTTTGAAACCCCTTTATTTATTATTTATTTTATGGTAGGAGAGATAGAAGCAATGTTTTCGATTTAAGTTGTTGAAAAGTAATGAATATATAAATCCCGAGACTACTCCCGGTATTGTGATAACGACATCCCAAAAATGCCGAGATCGTAAAAGCGAAAAAATTAACATCCCTAATACATATGTACATACATGTGTAGTCACATTGCATGGCACCCTTTACCCATTCACATCGAGAAGCGAGAACCTTTAAATATCTATTTTTGGATGAATTAATTTTAGTATTGTACTTTGTGAATTTTTGTATGTATTACGCTATTGGATGCAGCGGTTCATATAAAATCTACTCAGTTTTTTAAATAAGATTTTTGCATTAAAGACGTCTTTCAACCGGCATTCTTGTAGGAATTTCATCGGTTTTAAGTTAAATTAACATAAATTCGAAAAACTAACATGTTCGCTTGTGCAGTGTGTGGTGAGCCAACTAAAAGTAAATGTTCAAATTGTAATCAAAGTTTCTATTGTTGCGAGGAGCACCAGAAACAACATTGGAAGGTGCACAAAGTCGATTGCAGACCATTCAAAGTATGTGTCTGATTCCTGTTAAATAACTTGTTAACTAAAAATCAAATGTTGAAATTACATCCGAGTACATAAAAACATACACACAAGGTGTATGTATCCTGCAAACCAAAGTTCCCGAAATCTTTAGGAGAATCTCACTTCAGTAACGATTTTTTTACGAATCTTCAAAGAAAATTGTATTAAGCGGTTGAAACGAACTCGAAAAGAAATTTCTGAAAAAAATTCTGCAAGAAATTCTTCATTCCGAAACTTCGTAAAAGAATCGAAGTGTGCACAGTTTATTTTATTTTAGGAAATTCAGGAAAAAATCGGATTAAATCTTTACCAATTCCTTAAAATTTCTTTACGAGTTCGTGTCAACCCCTTTATGTAATTTTCTTCTTAAAACCGTTACAGAAATGAGATACTCCTAAAGATTTCGTTAAGATTTCGGGAACTTTGGTTTGCGGGGTATTTAACAGATATCTATTCATAAGTAATTGCAAAAATAATGTAAAATTAATTGACCATGCAATTTGTATTTAAAGGTGGAGTATAGCGATCAATTGGGAAGATGTTTGGTGGCAACTCGCAGCATAAAGCCCTTCGAAATAATTATGAAGGAGGCACCCTTAATTTGTACACCGTCCCAAGTAACAAGTCCAGTGTGCCTTGGATGTTTGAACGGCATTGAACCTTCTGACTATATTGAGTGCGATAAGTGCGGCTGGCCACTTTGCGGTATCGAGTGTAAAGGCAAGGCAGAGCACCTAGCTGAATGTGATTTTACTGTGGAAAGAGGCTCAAAAGTAAGTGAAAGCTTTTACAAAGGCGTAAGAAAATGGGATGTGCGAATTTAAAGCTCCGTCAGAATGAACACGTTTCGTCCAGGGTAACTTTTTAAAGCCACCAAGTTGTAAAGACTCTTCTTCAGGCATTCAGCACTTTCAGGTTTTTAACGTGTAAATAAAATATAAAGCACGGTAAAATGAACACACATGATAACAGAGAACTGGGTGCACCATAATTGCTTTCAATGCGACGACTGACATACAAACATATCTACATACATACGTATGTGCATATCGATTGCTTGCACGATCCGGAAAATAAAGGTCGCGCCATTCGCGGACCGCTAACCCTCTCTTCGTCGATTTGACAGCATCCACCCAATCGCCGACGTCATAAAATACTTTCCTTTACATTCACTGTTGCCAACTTGATGCTTTTCGCACCAAATTTAGTGGGTATTCAAAACGCAAAAATTTTTGAGTTTCGTACTTGGTGCGTTTTTGGTGCTTTTGTTTTTAGTTTGAGGACATCAAATTAGAAAATCTTAAAAAACTGGAAGCCAAATTTATAGCAAGTGTGGTACGCCACTTTACACAAATTTTAACAAAATCATGGCACAGTGACATAAGCGACAACAAAATATGTGGCAGCACCTTCACGACCGTCGTGCAAGAAACATTGATTTTTATTAATTTGAATCGGCATCCTTACAATAAAATATGTAAGTATATAAAGTTCATAAAATACACCAATAAAAATTTGGTGCTTTTTCAAATTCAAAACTTGGCAATACTGCCTTTTGTTCGATGCTTCCTCTTTTTCTTGTCGAGTTCGTCTTGCTCTCTCATTCTGGTATTTATTGACGGCCAGTTGCTCTCAGCTCGATTGGCGCAATCTTGTATTCTATCGTTCTTGAACTACAATCAAGCGCAGCTATTCCGCTGCAATTCACACTTGATCATGTGGTTTTTGGTTTTTGTTAATATTTCTATTATTAGAATATTTAACTTTTAGGTGTGCTCGTCCTTAAGTTATACGTTTTAGTTATTTTATGGCCTTATAACAATTATATACAACAATTTTTATTGAGCTTGAGGCCGCTTTTAATGAAAAACTTATTGTGGAAAAGCAACAATAATTTTGAAAAAATGGTAGAAGTGATAGCTATTTCGGAAATCACCTCATTTCCTCATCAGACTTCTTTCAGTGGGATTAGAACCGACGATCCCACTGACTCAGCCAGTTGCCTACGCACTGTGCTAAGTTCGCCTTATGAATTATTGTTCCTTTTTCCACTATTTTCATTTGTTAAGCCAACTACAATCAAGCGCAGCTATTCCGCTGCGATTCACACTTGATCATGTGGTTGTTGGTTTTGTTGATTTTTGTTAATATTTCTATTATTAGAATGTTTAACTTTTAGGTGTGCTCGTCCTTAAGTTATTTCTTTTTGTTATTTTATGGCCTTATAACAATTATATTCAAAAATTTTTATTGAGCTTGAGGCCGTTTTTAATGAAAAACTTATTGTGGAAAAGCAACAACGCGACAACAAAACGTCAACCTTCTCCATGCATATTATCGCTCCATCATATTATCGCAACCGGTACGTAACGACCCGACGATATGCCCATAAAACTATTGATATTTTTGTTGTATTAATTTCTTAAGCTCAATAAAAATTGTTGAATATTATTGTTATAAGGCCATAAAATAACAAAAACAAATAACTTTTTGACAAAACTTGGTTAAAAATTTCTCTTTATAGGTGATTTATTTTAACCTAAATTTTACTTTTGACACTGGGTAGGGTTGCCAGTACAGTAAATCAGTACTTTTCGGTACATTTTTGTTCAAAGCAAAATTATGAATGTAAGTAACAAATATTACTCTAAAACGCCAGAATATAGTTCATGAAAAATAAAGGTCTTATTCATCTTAATATGAGTGTACACATCAATGTACACAGAAGCCAATTAATTATGTTATATTTATGACATTTTTGAATAGAAATAATTAGATTTGCAAGTTATAGGCAAAAGCCATTCGAATATTCTAATTTTTTGTTATTAAACTGAAAGTTATTTTCGAGATAACTAACAACACGCGACAACAAAACGTCAACCTTCTCCATCCATATTATCGCTCCATCATATTATCGCAACCGTTACGTAAGGACCCGACGATATGCCCATAAAACTATTGATCTTTTTGTTGCATTAATTTCTTGAGCATATCAAACATTATCTGAAACATGTCAACTATAATTAGATAACAGTGATTTCGTTTCTTTCGAAAAATGTTGCCCTTCCCCGGTGCAAAATGTGTTTGATGTTACACTCAACCCTATAAAAAGGCATGCTTTTGCCTTCTTGTCCTTGTCCAGCTCACGTATTTCATAATATTGTCGTTTTAAACAACCACCTGATTTTCAGGGCAACCATCTCCCCTGACAAAGCTTCACAGAATAGAGATATGCTTTTTACCCTTCTTTTTATTATTACCTTCCTTTTATTAACTGGGGATGTAACTATGTAATATTGATGCGCCTAAAAGATGCAGCGATTTCTATTTTCAAGTTACATACCTGATGACAGTACGAATGGCAATTATAATAGGGAGGTTTTAGTTTCTTAAACAATAATTTTATTTGCCTTACAAGACACACATTTTAAGAAACGAACACACAATTTTCTCTCCCTTTGCCTTCAATTTGGAATCCAAAAGAGAAAGGAGCAATCAAAAGGCAAAATTTTTTCGTAGAAACGAAATCACCATAAGTTATTTTCTTCTTACATTTTACAATACATTTTAAGGAAGCTCCAGCGTTATGTAAAAACCTGAAGGAAATCCTAAAGTATTTTGTTTGAATTGAAAATTCAGTACAAATCAGTACAAATTTTGAAAAATCAGGACATTAGCGTACTGATTAAAGAAATGAATAAAATCAGTACAAGAGTTGAAAAATCAGTACTGTACTGATAAAATCAGTACGTCTGGCAACCGTACCACTGGGTAAGACAAACGAGCCTCATTCCATGTTGAATTAAGATGTGTTGGTATTTGATAAAGAGAAAAATGGGACGTAAATGAGTTTTTTTGCAAAGAAATAAAAAAAAGGGTGAAAAAATACCATTCCACTGATGCCACACTAGTCTATAGCGTTATAGTTTTGACTAAGTTATTCAAGTTTTTCTTAAACAAATCTTTGAAAAAAGTTTAAAAGCAGCATCAAAAATGTCATTATTATGATTCTGTTGAACAATTTTTTCAATATTTTTATATAGATATTTAACTTAAACTGTTTGTCATCTGAGGGGATTTTTTCCAAAAATCCCTTTAGAAACAATTTTTATTCATAAATAGGGCTCGGAATCTCATGCACTAAAAAATCGAAAATATGAGCATATAATATGCATTCAAAACTCAAATATATGCGCTATAAACAAGTAAGATATGCAATTAAAAATATTTTCCTAATGTGTTTTTGCCGGTACAAAAATAAATAACACATGTATTTTAACAACGAAATAACGAAAAGAATTCAATTTTAAACAAAAAACATATTTATGTATGTATACAATTAGTTTATAATCAAGCATACAGTTATAATCTTGTGCAAATGGAAAAATTGGCCGTTTAATAGTGGTTCAGATGAATGGTTGGTTGGTTTAAGTGGATTGTTACCAGGGCTGCCAACATGGCTCAATCCGTGCCATTTTTGGCTCTATTTTACTTCAAGTGGCACTTAATTTTTCAATTTTGCACAAAGTGCTAAAATGGCACTATTGAAAAATAGTAATATTTCAACACATTTTTGTGAAATCCTGTGCGTGTACTCCTTTTTCTCAACTAAAATTTTCTAATTTCTACACTATATACAACTCGTTTATCTTACTTTGGCACTGGACTTTTGTTTTAGAAATGCGTTTCTAATTTTATTGCTAAATGGGAAGAATTAAAAAGAATGGCACCTTTTTGGCACTTTTATTTTTCTATTTGGGACATTTTGGCACTTTTTTATCCTCAATATGGCACCTCATAGCTAAGTATAGTTGGCATCCCTGATTGTTAACCTGGTGGCAGGCTATTAGCAAGTTTGCCATTTTGATTTTACAACTCGTGCAACCTACAGCCACTTGGCGGCTTTAATGAATTTCAGTACGTCATACAGGGAGAGGCAGCTGCACTCTGAAACAATCTGCAGGAATAGCTTGCCGAGTGTCTTTAGCGTCATCCAGGGGCACCCAGAACTGCCGGGTAATACTGCACCATCCTTCACGGATCCACCTCTTCTTGGCCTTCAAGTAATAAATTTCGCTAATTTTTACTTTGTGTCCACGGCGTGGGACACATTCAGTGCGGAGCCACACCTTGCTAGTTCGTTCGCCGCCTCGTTTACGTAAATGTCCCTATGCCCCGGGGACCTATATTAGGGTAATTTAGTAGTAATCAGCAGTGTTGCCAACTTTTCAGTTTCAAAAAGCACCAAATCTTGGAAAAAAGAGCGTTTTACCGCACTAAAAGCACTAAATTTTTTTTTTAAATCACAGGATACTCTTTTTCATAACAGTTTGTGGTAAACAAAAGTAAAAAAATATACAATATTTACATGTATAAATAAATACACATTCATGCGTGCCAAGTAATACCGAAGTACTGCACATTAAAACTGGTACATCTGGAGAAGGAACAATCGAATCGCAACAAACGAAATTGAATTTTAAAGGGGAAGAGTAATACTTAATATGATACCCTAAGTAGAAATGAGCAAAAAAATGTGTTGTTTTATAATATAACCTCAAATATTGCGAAAAACCGTGTTTTTACACTTAGAGAGTAGGATATCTCAAAATTCTGACATGGTATAGAAATTCTGCAGCTAGATTGGTATTCAGCACCGAAGAATCTACAAAAACCGATGCACTCAGGTGGCAAAAAAGTTAAAATTTTTCGAACTGTGTAATCAATCAATAATCAAGAAAATAAAAAAATAAATACTTAACTTATCTGTGTGCTAGCATTTTCAACGCGCATACAATTTAACAAGAACGCAAGAACCTGGGTTTGCAACTTCATCTTTTTATCAATCATGGTTTGCATTTTAGTGCATTTAAATTTTTAGATTCTTGTAAATTCAGAAATTTTAGTTAAAAAAAAAGCACTAAAAAGGGCACTAGGCACTAAACCATTTTTTTGGCGTTTTAATATTCAAAAAGCACTAAATCTAGTGCTTAAAGCACTAAGTTGGCAACTATGGTAATCAGATATATAGGCCAGTTCTCTTCTATAGTCCCCCACTAGTTTAGACCTAACAGGAGTAGAAGAGCGTGCCTTAATGGCCGCTTGGCTATCCGAGAAGGTGTTCAGATGAATATTTGGGAAGAAATTATAGGCAATTTTTTTATTAACAGATTTTGTACTAAATTAAAATTGTTGTGAATCAAAAAAAGCCGAAGTATACAAAAGCTACATGCATTTATTGTAAAATATGCCCAATAAATATGCAAAACCAGGCATTTTTTGCAAAATATGCAAAAATACGCACTAAATATGCCATTTTAAAGGAAATTTCATGATTCGAAAAGATAAGTTAAGCATTTCCAAGCCCTGTTCATAAAAAAACTAAATTTTTTGAGGTATTTTCATATGGGTGCAGCTCACGTATATCTTAAAATTTTTCCGAAATATTTTTGTGGAAGTCTTAAAATATAATCAGCCTAATCATGAGTTTAATTTTCCCCGAACCGGTTCACTTTTCACGTTTGGTTTACATGTATTTACTATGGACGGAATACAAATTTTCGGGTGAAAATTTTTTCGGGCGGGACTCAGGATAATGCAGAATAAATTTTGTAATCCCGGTGGAGAAACTGCCAACTTTTTTTGGTGATGCAGACGACTGCTTGGTGATAACCTCGAAAATATGAGCTAGTCATTATTACATTGAATGAATATTGATGTGTATTCTTTTCTATACTCGTAACACATACATACATATCGTCGCCTGGGTAAACAATTGTCGTATGTTAATTTCGACAGGTTGTGGGAAATCGCGATTGAAGTTTGGAATGCAATTTCTCAAAAACGTGAAGATAGATTTTCGCCAAGGTCTCTGAAAATGTTCACTAAATTCTTAAATTATTTAATTTTTAATGTTTATTGGTAATTAGTTTTGAGTTTATGAAGGATTTTCTTTAGTCAAATTTTGTCGTAAGCGTCATTTGTCCACAATTTGGTAGCCACTTTGTATGAAATAAGACCAAATGTGATCAAAATGTTTACCAAATTAACGACACTTTTTACTCAATATCTCGGAAACTAAAGGAGATATCCAAAAATGTAGAACCCCATTTTTAAGATATTGATTAGTTTAATATGACTGCATCACCAACTAAATTTTTACTAAATTATCGAAAAAGTTGTAGTCAATATCTAGGAAACTAAAGGAGATATCTAACACGAACGGCAATAACGCAAATTTGTGTTATTTCCCAATTGAATTTGAAATAACACAAATTTGCTTTATTTCATTTCTCGTTGAGCAATAAGACCAACCTTTAAACTTAACAATTGAGTGATAAAGCAAAATAGTACACATATGTATGTAGATAGTCACCCAGTTACACATCACAAAAAGTAGTACATTAACAAGTTAAATTGACGGATTTGTAAGTATACAATTTTGAAAGTGCTCAGCGTCGCGGCGGTTAGGTGAAGTAATATTATAGGGCTTTCGCACGAGGCGATTTTTCAGGCAACTTTTAGTTGAAAGCAAAAATCGCCTCGTCCGAACGGCCTTTCAACTAATCGCTTTCAACAAAGTTGGTCGCCAGCCAACTTTGAGCTCGTTCAACTTTTTTTCCTTGCAACCCTGTGTTTCTTTACATTCTGTATCAGTGTTGGGAAATGAAATCGTTCGTTCAGACGAAATCTATACAAAAAATGTACTTTTCGGCTATAAATTGTATACACTTTTTAATTCGCTCATATATTTTCTTAGTACATTCCCTTCAAGACCAATGATTTTATGGTATTCATGAGAAAGTTTTATTGTTTATGTACATACGTTTACGTATTTTACACTTTTACAAATTGATTCCACGTGCACATGTACTGCATTTAACGCAAATATGTATGCACACATTTTCAGGTATAAATCTTAACAAAAAGCATATTTAAGTTGATATTAATGGATAAAAGAGACATTTTCTTTGGATTCAGTACTAAAATTTGACATTTTTATAGCATTTCAAGTGCTTATCAAAACTTTACGACAAGATTTGACCATTTATCTTAATATTATTAAATTTTAATTATTTTTTGTAAAAATACGGTTTATATTTTAAGAAAAGCCGTACAAATCCAAGGTTCAAACTTTGTGCAACATTAAAAAAAACCAACACACTTTCGTAAAAATTTCGAGCTTTTTAATTCGATTTCCTAGATTTATTTTGAGTGTGCGGTTTTTTAGCAATTAAATTTTAATATAAGTAAGTTTTTTAAGATTTCTTTGATGAAGGTGTTGCTAATTTTCTCCATATAAAAAAATCGTCGAACACACTTCGTATGGAAGAAAATGACTGACATCGTCGACAAAAAAAAATGCCAAGTTCAACGGTAAGTCCCAGCTACTTTAAACTTGCACTTTATTATACTAAAATTGAATGGGCTAAAAACTAAAGAATATTGATAAAGCTTGAAATTTTTACGAAAGTATGTTGGTTTTTGGATGTTTCGCATAGATTTAATCTTGGGTTTATACAGTTTTTCTTAAAGAATACATTATATTTTAAAAACAGATAGTTAAAATTAAAGAATAATAAAATAAATAGTAAATCTTGTCAATATGTGAGTGCCGTAAAGGTATTATATTTAAGAAAATCTCTTCTTATAACTAACGAAGACTTTCTTTCTATATGAAGTTGACTTCGACATTTTGTTTTAATAAAACTTAGTATCGAAAAGTTTCTTTAAAAATTTGCCTAGGCTGTATTATACTGGTTCGTTCAAGCCATTTTTCAAAACTTACAAAGGTAAATACGAACTGGCGAACAAAAGAGAATACAAAAAATTTCTTGCTGTGAATTTTCAGAGCTATATATTTTTAGTATTCATTACAAAATTGTATTAAAAAGTACTGCGTAGTAGGAAAGTATATTGTAAATGAAATTGTATCAAACAAGTACAATTGTACCAAAAAATGCCAACACTGTTGTGTATACATATTTTTTTTCTTTTTTACTTTTTTACTCTTATTTTATCTTTCAGCTTCGCTAAAAGCACTTATACCAACGCTTGGCTTACCAAATTTACGCCAATTGATAAAATTTGGCGATTTAAACTCATTTTAAATAATGTAAACAACAATTCGAGTTGAATCGAAAATCGCCTCGTCTGAATAGGGATGGCAACTTTTTCACTTTCAACTTCTCATTCAACTCCGCATTCAACTTTTGTTGCCTGAAAAATCGCCTCGTGCGAAAGGCCTATTAGGTGAGAAGAAATATTTTGATACTGCCTTATTTGAAAACGTGCCTATAAAAGTGCAAAGCAGCTCAAGTTAGAGCAGCTGTCAAAAAATATAATGGAGCAAGTTAGAGCAACTCGGATCATAAATCTCATGAAACACCTTTCAGGCAGAAATTCTCAAAACAGTTGATTGCTCGACAGTTCAATTCGTCAATTGTAAAATGTGTGTGTGTGTGTGTTTGCTTGCTAAGCACACGGAAGTGACTACGATTATGAACATATGCTGTGCTTTGCACAATATCTGTAAAAAATTTAAAATGTGTGATCCAGACGAATCTGAGATTTTTTTATTGACGCTGTTGTACTATCGGAACCAGTTAGTGAAAATTCCGGTGGTACACCCGTAGAACGTCGCAGAAGAGAGATAGCTGCTGCATTATTATAAAATAAGTAACTACTTTATTTTAAAAAATATTTTTAAATAAGTATACACGTAAATATTTATTTATTATTTACTTAGAAACTAAAGACATTCACAGTGAAACAGAAATATTTTTTATTATTAATTTTTTGGCAAAAGAATAGGTACACTTAACAGCAAAATTCTGCGTACACCATTTCTTTTTTAAATATTCACAAAATTTTCCAAGTTAAAATTTGTTGGTTATTTTTTTATAAGATTGTGAATCATCCTTAAAACAAAATCAGATAAACCCAGGTCTCAAGCTTTATACAAAATTAAGAAAAATTTCACAAATTTTCATCAAAAATTTCAACTTTTTAATCAGATTATAGCGCATTCAATTTTAATATAATAATGTGTAAAAATTAATTATTAGTAATTATTCATTTTTTATACGATGGTTCTACGCATTTTCCTCAATATAAAAAAGTTTCACTCCTTTGTATGGAGGAAAATGCGCAGAACCGTAAAAAAAAAATTATTAAAAATCAACGCGATTTTTTAGCCACTTATTTTTTGCACATTAATATACTGAAATTTAATGGGCTACATATAATCTGATTAAAAAGTTTAACATTTAGATGCATATTCGTGGAATTTTCCTTAATTTTGTATAAAGCTTGAAACCATGGTTTATATGATTGTGTTTTAAGCATGATCCACAATTTTATAAAAAATAACAAACAAATTTTAACTTGCAAAATATTGTTAATATTTAAAAAAGAAATGGTGTACGCAGACTTTTGCTGTTAAGTGTAGCAAAACAATTTAAATGCAAATTTCAATCTTTCTGAAAATTATAAAAGTTCAACAAAGTTTCATCAGTTTCATAGCCTACTCAATTTTAGTACAATGAAGTACTACTTTGAAGTTGCAAAAAGTCCCGCTGATTTTAGATAATTTTTTCATTACAACAAAATTTTCGAACATACTTTGTGTGGAAGAAAATGCGCAGCACCGTCGGCAAAAAAAACTTATAAAAATTTGACGGGATTTTTTAGGAACTTTTAATTTGCACCTCGTTGCACTAAAATTTAATAGGCTATAAATCGGCACACCAAACTTTTTCTAGAAATTCTTATTAAAAAGTTTGCATTTTTGATTAAACTTTGTTGAATTCACTTACTGTATTATAAGGTTTTTAGTTCTAACTCCTTTAACTTCATTTCCATCTTTTCTTTATGTTGTCTCTTTTTTTTATAAATTTTCTTCTTTCTTTCTCTGTTCCTTCATCTTCAATAAGTTTAGTTTTTCTTTTTTTATTTCGTATGTTTTCCTAGCATGTCGCGAAATTTCTTCTAATCTTTTTTCTGTGCCTGATTACCTTTGGCAAAGAACTTCTTGCACCTCGGACTGCCTCTCCAACGCACTTAAACGAATGTTTTCGCGGTCCTCCACTGTCATTCTTCTTCTCGCCTGAGTTGACGTAGCCGATAGATCCATTTCTTCGTCCTGCGCTTCTGGCTGGGAAGAATCATTCCTAACATTGCCCTCCGTTTCTTGGGTATTAGCTCCAAATGTAGAGCCCGAGGGGTTGACTGCTTCCTGTAGGTGAAGCAGCTCATCCACCGCTTGTTCCAAAGGTGTGAGGCTTTGCTGGACGTACGGACCTCCTCCTGTGGCCACAGTTTCCCGTCGGTTCGTTGAAATTTTTTTCTTCATCTTCAGTTTGTAGTCTAGCCAAACCTTAATAGTACACAAAAGAAACTGGATTTATTAAGTTGTCTTAGGAAACAATTCAACCCAATTCTTACCTTATTCCACTCACGCCCGTTCCGCATTGGAGGTCCGATGCCGTTAAGTTCGGACGCGAAATTATCCCACAATTCTGCCCTACTCTTCCTTGAGGAGCCGAAATTTCCCATCCCCTTGGCAACGTCTGGATTATTTTGCATGAGTGTATGAAAAATGTATTGTATTTAATGAAATTATGTACATATAAAACCAATTACTAACGTCTTTTTCATTTTGAAGTGCGAATCGAGAAAATAGGAGCCAAATTTTGACAGCTATGGCGAAGCGAATGTCGTTTTTTCCCTAGTGGTAATACACGAAATTCATTTTCGCCACTCGTTCGCCATTTTGCGGCGAATTCGCCAGTGATTTGCATCTCATAACTCTAGAATGCGAAGTTCGCCGATATTATCTTTCGCTTCGCAAGTGATAATACCCGCCGAATGTCAGAAAATAAAGCGAAAAAGCTGTTTTATTACTTCACCTGTTTATTGCGCCATTCATCCCACCTGCTTGTACCGAGTATACGTTCAAATTTAGAAGTCTGAGAGTAGGTAAAATTTTACATATTTTTACATCACTACTTCGTACCACAGGTTCGCTTCGTCTTCGGAAACGAAATCCACAGTTCGGATATGGTGAAACCAGTGATGATAATGCAGAAATTTTAACTGAAGATAAAACTCAAAACAATATTCTCTGTGTTATATGTTCCATGCCATGTCGGAATTATACCAGGTGAAGTAATTAGAGCGAGAAAAAGATTTTGACAATACCTTATTTGAAAAATTCCCTTTAAAATTTGACTATAGAAATTAGTCAAGAACGTAAACCTATCGGTACGTAAACCCGGGTCAGCTGACACGATCTGTCTTACCAGAGCGCCATGTAAATGAAAACTCAACACCGCAGAATTTTTCTGTAGTTGTAGCCCGTAGCGCAGAAATCTGCGGAATTTAGAGTTTTCCGTGTCAGCTGATTTCTTCCTTCTATAGATGGTTGCCACTTAGTCAGTTTTGCAGATGGTAAAAAAGTTATAAGTTGCTATTCAAAATATGTTTAAAATATTTGAAATTTACTATTAAATAAGGTTTTTGTTGAAAATTAAGTAGTTTGTATTTAGCTATGATCTATTATAGCACGAATAATTGTAGTTGAAAAGGTAAGTTTATGAAAAGGCATTATTGAGTTGCAACACTGTAGTAAGCAACACTGAGGGCTCCAGTAATCGACAAAATTCTGCGTATACAGACTGCGTTTAAGTATACGTTCTGCGTTCTTGACTAATTTCAGCTTAAGGCAGCCGAATGACAGAAAATAAAGCGAGAAAGCTGTTTTATTATTTCACCTGTTTATTGCGCCATGGTTCCATGCAAACATTTTAAGGTTTTCCTGCACTGTTTTCAACCTATTAAAAAGCATGCAGATAAAATTCATACAAAAGCGTTATGTCCAATTTGTTGAGCAGTTATTAAAGACGACTCTTTTCCTATATTTTGTTAGACTTTTCATAAGTAAAAATATTTTGTGAATATTACTTTCTTCATATGAATTATATCACATTTTTTGTTTAATTGTATTTTTGGAATAGACAAAGTTCTGTTTCCTTCTGTAAGTAAACTTTTTTTGTTACAAATAGTATAAATAAGCAATGCGAAATAAGACAAAATTTGTTTTATTTCCAACCTTTTAGGAAATAGGTAAAGCAAAACTCCGATTTTGGTATTATTTCCTAGTTAAGAGTGAAATAACGCAAATTTTTCGTTATTGCCGTTGTGTTATTTCACCCCCTCTCCCCTCCGCTAAAACATGTGGTAATATTTTCAATTTTATTAATTTTGCAGAAAAAAATTGCAAAATTTTACTAAATGAAAACTGTGAAACCACTTTATTTGCCTAGATAGGTGCGTTAAAAAGTTATTATTTGCGTATACATATCATAATAGTATCAATTTCAGAATATTATTCATGGAGGAAATAATTATTATGTACGCGGCTATTATTGTGGAGCAAGAAGAAATTATACATAGAAGAAGACTTCTGAGGGAACTCAGAGACAACAGTTTTTTTGGACAGTTTTTACACGTTTGCAGTTCGGGGTGGTCTTCACAAAACTGGAACTGCTCTTGTGTGGTGCATTCGTATTTTCCACGCCTGTTACTACACGAATTCATAATAAATGAAATAAATTTCCCTATTATAAAATTCCTCTTCCGGCGTTTCGTAATCCGTTGCTGCGGTGTATTTTAATTAAAAGAAATCCCGAACAATTAAAATGTAAACAAAGGACACCTGTTTCACTATAGAGAAACTTTCACCGCAATTGGCATGTAAAACGAGCTTTTCGCTTGTCATTATTGACTGTGCATACCTATGACAGCACTTGATGGCACGATAATGACAATTGAACTGTGACAATTGACGACTGTATCAACACGCGAATAGGGCTGTAAGCGTCGTGAGCGACCGTGAATATTATTTAAAACATTTAAAAGAACGTGAGTGTGCGTGATTTACAAAACCATCAACGTGAGCGCGTGTGAACGTGAGCCAAAATCACTCACGCGCCTATCTCTAGTTGCTACCCAGAGACCATTGGTGTAAATACCAGAAGGCGTGAGCTGCCTGAACCGGATAAAAAATTGTTTTTGGCCACTCCCTGGTGAATAGTGACCAAACAATTTTGCACATGTGTTGACGTATGCACCCGGAACTATTCAACCATTATAGTTGTACATTTAATACTCTAAATTTCCTATAAATATGAACTCATTTTAAAAAAAAACGTTATTTAGCGAAATCTCAAAAATATGGGAGAAAAAAACCAGAATATGAAAACAGTGAAAAGTATACACATGTAATGCCTTTCCATCGCTGTGGAGGCCTCCCTCTTCCTCTCCTATCACCAGCTGGTTACCAGTTAAATAATTTCAGAGCTGTATGTTAATTAGATGCACTATGTCCACGTCGCTGTAAAGCTCATACAGCTCATCGTTCCAACGCCTTCGGTACTCTCCGTCGACAATGCGAAAAGGGTGACAGGTAAAAAGTTCAAGGTCAATTGAGCCTGGTGCGTAATAAAGTCAATTGACATTATTACAGTTTCAAAAGCGAAATAAGGTCAATAAAAATTTGGAAATAAAGTAAATGATGCTATTTCCACATTTAAATGGAAATAGCCTCAACAATGCTTAAAGTATGTCGGTTTAAAGAAACAAATGTTGGTCGTGCATCGTACCTGACGATGCGGTGTGGCGCGCGGACGCGGGTCTCCGCGAAGCTACGCAAATTTAATGTTTGAAAGAGCAATAATGTCAATGGATTTTATTGCGCTTTTGAAAAGGTAATAATGTCAATCGACTTTATTTCGCACCAGTATGCGAAATAGTATCAATTGACCTTTTTCCGTTGATCTTGTTACCTGACCAAGACTTTTTGTACGTCGAGAGAGGACTCTACTCCTTCATTCCCTACTCAACCCAAAGTAGCACTTGTTGGCAATAATGAATCTGCGTTGTATTTCGATGCTGATATTATTATCGGTAAACGAAATTCTCTACTTTCTTGATATTATAACTGTCAACAGTGACGTGAGTGCCGAGGAGCGAATGCGGTGATGCTTGTTTGATGACAGGATATACATACTTCGTCTTGTCCTCTCTATAAAATGTGGAAAAAGCAGTTTTTGTGTGGACATCATGGCATACAGGCCTGTCGAAAGCGGCTTTGAAGTCAACAAATAGATTTGGGGTCTTTCCCAAGATTTGGCGTATCTTTCATACCTGGTCAATGGTGGCTTTGTCAGGTCTACAGCAGTGGCGGATACAGGATTTTATTTGGAGAGGGGCGATCGGGATCAACTTGTCAAATAATGACAAATTACAGGCATCTAACTTGAGCGGAGTGACCAATCGAAGCTACATGACCTACAAGCATCCAACCTGCTTGAACCCTCATTTGTTTTTCATGCTTACATGCTTTTCATGTTTACTTTTGAGAAGTTTCATTTTGTGAATTTGGTGCAAGGTCCATTTACAGAGTCCCCTGTAAAAAAAAAAAACAATTACACTATTTTGTAAAAAAACATAAGATAAAAAGTTGTACGTTGGGTTTATTAAAGCAATATATTTATATAAATACTTATTTTTTGCTTACAATGTTTGTCAAATGAAGGATGTAATTAAATAAATTATTAGCTTATTCAGAATTTTTATTATAATAAGTTCAATTGCAAACTCTATTTTGCGCTTTTCTTTTGCGAATTTTCTATATTCCTTTCAGTTTCAATTTCAATATCTAAGTGTACGTGTCAAAATGCAAGACCTATCAGTCTTTCTTTATTCATGGTACTACGGAACCATGTTTTTAACCGGCGAAGGGTTGAAAAACTTCTTTCTGAAGTAACGTTACTAGCTGCAAGCGTAGCCATTATGCGGAAGCTATTCGTCGCATTTGCCAAGAACTTCTGCTGCATGATTCAATAATACAAGGTTCGATAAACTGACAGTTGTCTCTCTCGCACCGCTCCCTTAGCAGTGGCACGGTGTTGCTTCTTTGCAAATTTACTTGGAAAAAGTGTAGCTTTGCTATGAAATATAAGTATAAGCTTTTGTCAATTTGTTTATTTGTATATGCATATTAAGGACATTTAACTGATGAAAACATAAATTCTTTTTAAATTGGATGTTTACATAAATCTCATAGTAGTTTTATTTTAATTCTGAGTCCTTTTGCAGTTTTTATACGGCTAAATACCACATAAATTACGTAATTCACGTAGATATATTAATATTTCGTTCAATAATTCCTTCAATATTTCCTTTAAAATGCCAGATTTCCTGCAAATACATTAGAACTTACAAAAATAATTTCACTACTAATTGCCTACTTTGCGTACTTATCTACTACCATTTTCGCAACAAGGGATTGCTTTCTTCTCCGTTCTCTGTCCTTCGTAAAAGCAACCTTTTGTAAGGGAGTGTCAAACCGCGGCTGTCAATAATTATCTAACCTTGTATTATTGAATCATGCTGCTGCTGATTTTGGGAATGGCATTTCACTTACTTTATTTGTCAATAGTTCTGACCACACTTTATACTCTCCTTCCAAAATGATAGCGTCTTTTTCTAAGAAACAATCGTTTCGATTTCGAAGCGATTTTACGCGTTCGAAAGCATTACTTTTTCATATAGCGAATTATATTCCCCAATTTTAGATGGAAGTAATGAGTTCAAATCCAAAATGTTTATGTATTGTATATTTCGGCAATATTGCTTTGCGATTATAATCTTCGGCTTTAGATGCACGATAATTAGCCCGAAAATTTTGTCTATTCGCTATCCAAGGAAGGACTATGTCCACATCCAATTCCTTAGCGACATCGGTAGCTAAGTTCCCTTTCAGACACGTCAAGTCTTGCTTTCAAGTTTGCTCGTTCGTAGGCGAAGGAGGTGAGAAGAGAGGGGAAGAGTACAGATACCTCCGTACCGTCAATTCGTTTCAAGTTTTCTTGTCTCTTTTGATCTTTTCGTTGCTTCCCATTTAAAGAACCAACGACTTGAATTCAATTAAAGTTGACGCGTGTGGAAGCAAATAGAAAACCCAAAAGAGAATGTGAAAAAAATTGCTTTCAAGACTTGACGTGTCTGAAAGGGGACTAACGTGGCAAGCGCTTTTTCTACGCATTTTGCTGTTATCCCCCGGATATAAAATGAATATATTGTGTTAATATTAATGCATTAGACAATGTATGGCTCATTTGTGCGTATTTTAGCAGAAGTGGGCATTCTACTATATTTCATCCCTTTAATCTTGTAGTACATCGGGGTAACACTTATTAAGCCGGGACTTATTAATTTGTATTAACCGTTGAATAAAGTTGTTTTCGTAAATACGCTCTTATAATAAAAAGTAATAAAAACGCTAATGAATGCTTATGGAAATGTTTTTAATTTTTAGTAAATTTTTCAAGTCATTAATATTTCTATGCGCATGCAAATGTCTGGTTACATATAGTCTGTTCCTTTGAACTTCGGACTAAAACCTGTGGAACTGTCAAACTACAATTAGGAGAACAGATGCATAAGTGCATAGGAACGCAAAAAGCACTATTTCCTGTAAAAACGTCAGTCGGTTTGTTTACATGTCATTTGTACAACACTGATTTAGCTGAAATATCACTGAATAATTATTAAAATCTATACATATTCAAATATTTCGTTGTTTACTTCCATTTTTTAACAAATAAAAGGTTCTTAGCTTTCACCGCTTTCAGTTTTTGTTTGCACATGTAAATCAGCTGATCGTTTGACACTTTTCATGATCTTACTGGAAAAAATACTCCGGACTAAATCCTGTAACTTCTGACTAGGAACAGTTGCTCAGTTACTCTCTCAAATGTGTTCCCACTTACAGGTTTTATGTCAATAGGAACGACTTCCTGTAAGTTCTGACTAAATCCTGTAAACCGGACTGCTATTGGAACAGACTAATAGTTGAATGTGAAATTTTCTACCTTCACCGCGGACATTTATGTATGCCATTTTGCTCACGCTGCCCCAGCAGTCGCAATGGCCGAGTGAGCAAAGCACTAGACTGCCAATTGAGAGATCCGAGTTCGAGTCTGAGTCGTCGGCGGTGGAGCTTTTTTCTTTTTTTATTTCATTTTTGTTTTTTTTTTAATTATTTTTTTTTTTTTAGTTTAGATTTTATTCTTTTAAAGAGAAAACTATTTTTTTTTTAATTAATTTAAATTTGTATTTTTTAAAATAAATTTATATGATATTAAAGTAATTAGATTTCTTTCCTAATAAATTGTGGTTAAACTATTATTTCCTCGCTTCAAAAAAAAAAACATTCATTAAATAGCGTCTAGCAGATGAATATATGTATGTACATATGTAGGTATGTATGCCATTTATATTTTACGTCTACGTTTACACAAATATATGGAATTATATCAAACTATAACAAATATGGAGTATAATAAATATTTATTATTAACAATAATGCAGCTTTTCTCCGTTATTTTTAAGATTCAGTGATTTTAAATTTTATGCCGCTAGCATAAACTCGTCGTAGTGTATCTGAACGGATTCAATGAATGCTCTCTACGAATTTCGAATTTACGTTCGTAGCCATTCGGATTCTGTGATAGCACTTTCGTAGGTTTCACGAAAATCGACGCTACGATGGATTCTCTGATAGCCCTGAGTTCTTAACACAACTATACGACAGTCACATAATGACAATATTTCACCATATATCTTAATATTTTTTAATTTTAATTATTTGTTTTTAAAAGTATATTATATTTTTTAAAAGAGACCATCTTTGTGCAAAATTAAAAAAGAAATCAACAAACTTGGTCAAAATTTTGAGCTTTTTAATTCGATTTTTAGGAAATATTTTAAGTATGCAATTTCATTTACCATAAATTTTTGGGAATTATTTTCGTTCAAGGTGTTGCTCATTTTCTCTTTATAAAAAAAAATCGTCGAAAATGCTTCGTAAGGATTAAAATGAATAACATAAAAATAAAAATAAATTGCCAAAAATCTTGCAGTAAAATTGAATGAACTAACAAACTGCATACCCAAACTAATTCTTAAGAATCGAGTTAAAAAGTTCGAAATTTTTACGAAAGTTTGTTGATTTTTTTTTTTAAATGTTGCTCAAAGATTCAAGTTTGGATTTATATGGATTTTGTTCGCCTTTCTTATGGCAGAGCAGACTTAACTCCAGTCGTCAGGCATGCATTCATCCGTCCATATTCTGCATTAGAGTTGATACGTGTACCTTATCAGCTTCTCACCGCCGTACTTAAATAGCTCAGCTGGCAGGCTGTCAGCTCCAGCAGTTAGTCAGTTTGTCAGGCGGTGGAACATCGCCTACGCCATCATCGACTGGGGGCGCAGGTTCATCTTCAGCACAACTTCCAGTGCTGCTCCCATTCAGAAGAGCGGCAAAGTGTACCCTCGTTAATTTAGCAACGTCCTGGACATCAGTCACTGGTTCGACATGGTTGTTTATACAGTAGTTCGCCCTGGTCTTGAACACAGTATAGACAGTAACCAACCTTTTTGGGTTGTTGTTGTAGTAGTCGTTGTTGTTGTAGTTATATTCACTCCTGAGGAAGGCACGGGGTTGTGTGCTGCTATTTAATGGCCTTCCTCAGACTTTTTCTTAGATTTCAGGGTTGTGTGCTGTATTATTATTAGATAAATAAATTTAAGTATTTGTCAAATCGTGATTTTATTAAAAGAAAATTATAAATGGTGTTGAAAAACCAAACAAACGCTCGTGCGAAAGCTCTATTTTTGTGTATTGTTAAAATTTATACATTTTGTGGACTTTATGTTACTTGAGAATTTAGACAACGTGCGAGCTGCCAGGTTCTGATATCAATATAATTAACACAAGCTTTTCCGAGTGGTTGCCTTTCAATAAAAAGAATAAACAAATATTCGCAAATAAATTGGATTTATTTTATAACTGACAACTAACCTACGCTTTTTGTTCTTTTCTCCATTTTAATTTTGACTCCTTATTACCGCCAACAACTTTATGTGTATACATATTTACAAGCCGTCAAAATTTTGCGTAGACCAACGAGCTAGGTAAAAACTATGGCATTCGTAATCACAACGAGAAATCTCAAAATTTTTGTTTGGTCTTTCCAAATTTTCTCTTTTTAATCAGTTGGCAAAGGCCCTCAGTGGCAGCGCTCCGAGCGTTGAGATAGTAATTTCATGTCAATTAGTAGAAAAGTTCCATGTTGAAAAAACTTTTTATTATGGCGAGAAAATTTTACATTTCTGCTGTGCAAATTCGTAATTTTTACTGTTGGAAATTTTTGACAGTTGCTCTGGTTCAAAAGAAGTTAAGCAATTAAAATCAGAAATTATACAAAAAAGACTTGTCTTTACTGACATTTATTCTTCTAGAACTAAAAGCCTTGAATTTATTAGACGCCTTAGTAATAAAATCAAACCATCAGGCCGGGTTGAAAATTTTCATTTAATTAACAAAATTTAGTTAACAAAAATTTACAATCCGTAGTACTTTTCTATCAATTCGCAAATGCGTTTAATTTAAATCGTTTAGAAAATGCGTCATTTATGTATACCATTTTATGTGGAATTATTCAATAAATTTCGTTTTACACTATACTTTTTGAAACTATTTGGAGTTAATTATTTTTTGTTTCTTAAAAGCAACCCTGCGTGCTTGGAAGGCGTGTGTACCAATAATTTCATCCCTAGCATATTCATCCCCGAGGAAGGCAGTCGCCAAATTCACCGAAGGTTGTTTACTGGTTATATTGTGGTCTTGAAACTTACTCTCTGTTAACTAACTCTATGTTAAAATTTTTTGGAGGTTTTTCCTGTCGGCCAGCATTTCACATACTTGGCACTCAGGTATTTCGGCGTCTCTATTCTTATTGCAGAAAATACGTCTCGCTTCCCTGTTCATCTCTCTATAAAGGTCCCACAAGCACGCGTTTCGCTCGATCGCAGCGTGGCCCTGTGGCACAACCAATGGCCACGAAATTAGAATTTATATCCGTGCGGGATAGTTCCAGTAATCATAGAGATTTATTTCCGAAAATAGAATTAATATCAGATTCCTGCCTAGAAAAAGCTTCTCATAAAAGAATTGTACTTCTCTCCATTTGTGTTATAACATTAGGACACACCATAAATTGGAGGAGAAGCTCGACCAATCACTCAGTAAAAGTGTAATCGCCAACGTATTATTATTATTCGAATTAATAACCTTTGCGGGTGGATTCTAGTTTTTTTTTTAAGATTTATTGTCGTGGTCATTATTTCGACGAGCTTTATTGCACCGCATCCCTCACTATTTATGTACATATATTAAAATTACATATTATGCACGTGTACCACATAATATTTATATAAATACTTTATAGGTGTCAATAAAAGAGTTTTCAAGTCCTCATCCCTTGTATCAATGTATGGGCACAGTGCGTTGCCTACTATTGTCACAAAACGATCCGGAAAAATGGAAACGGTTCCTGGAGCTTGAATCACTAGAAAAGCAACGTCGAGGCTCTATGCAATGGAAAGCCGACTTAGAAAGTATCGGTAAATTTATACCAAGGTATGTTTTTCAGACATTTTTTATACAGCGTGGCGACGAATAACTGTTACCCAGTTTTTTTTTTTTGAGAAATAAAAGGGTCCTTTATAGATTTTGCGAAAAAAAGTATTTTATTGTCAATTTTCCACAGATTTTACTTTAGTTGTATTAATTAGTTTCTAAATTTAAATCCTTATTTACATTTGAAAGCTGTGTAAACTTTGAGAGAAAAGTCAATTTAGCACGCAAGTCTTTTTCAGGTGTATTTTTTCAAGGCTTTGTATAAAAAAAAGAAAAAGTTAACTGTATAGGGTTGAACAAATGAATGGCCGTCCTAGTCAGCAGTTCTGAGTCTATTCGATTTTCGAGAATGAGGCCTTATGTTGGACAAAAGGGGGAGTATAAGGGACTCAAAATGGAGAAAATTAGCCTACAGTTACAGAAGATATGGAATAAATTAACTGACGAAGACCTGCGTGCCAAATGAACTTTTCTCTCAAAGTTTTGCAGTGCTAGAAAATGTAAATAAGGATTGAAATTTAAAAACTAATTTTTACAACTAAAGTAAAAATCGGTGAAAAATTAAAAATAAAATACTTTTTTCGCAAAATCTATAAAGGACCCTTTTATTTATCAAAAAACCTGGGTAACAGTTATTTGTCGTCACGCTGTAAACCGGTGATTTCCAAAGTGGTCCAGGTGGACCCCCAGGGTTCCATGGGAGACTCGACGGGGGTCTACGTTGGCTTTAAAAAAAATATGGGGGTCCATGAGTTGTAAGTGGGGGTCCACGAAAATTTATTTGGTTTCGATAGTAAAGAACCAAAATGGTTGCCTGATAGCCTCTTTATTTAACTTTAATTTTTTTGGTGTGTATAGTCCTCCTCACGCACTGCTACACTTACCGTCACTTTGTGTTTTCATACGTGGGAGAGCCTTAAAGGCTACCTGCAGATTAAAAAGAACCGGATGTTGGTATAATACAGAGTGGGGAGCGGCGGAAATTGCTGGCAGCAGAGATTTAAGCACTTGTGTATTTTCAACGCTACAGGATAGTACGCCACCATTATCTTTGTTGAAGAGATTTTATAATGTTGAGTTCCCTGAGACGGACTGCGTGTTTAATTCCATCACTGAGACCGGACTCACACATTGTCGAATCTTCACTGATGGCTCCAAAACTGACTCTGGGTCATGATCTGGGTCTTTTTCGAAGTTAGTGCGGATAAGCTTCACTTTTCTGTTGGGGAATATGCTTCGGTCTTCCAGGCTGAGTTAATTGCATGGAAACTGGGTGAATACTTCGCTCAGCAATGACTGTGAGGCATCGAGGGCATGCAGGTGGGCAAAACTCATGTTGCCTTCAATCTCAGAAGGTCTTTCTAGTTTTTTGCTCTCACTGAGCAGACGCCAGTGCAGACAAATTGTTGGACTGCTGACTGGTCACTTCAGGTCGCACAAAACTTGACTGTGGTAAACGTAAATGACAAGTCCATTTGCCCATCCTGCCTTGAAGAGCATGAGACGGTGAAACACTTTTTGTGCTTCTTGCTTGCTTGGTTGTTTGTCGATTTTTCTAGACTCGTTCTTTTCTCTATTGTAAGCATCGTATATACTTACAAGTATGGAATCCTATGCCTCTTTTTGTCTATTCTCTTTCTAATAACGGATGTGCCTGCCAAACTGAAAAGCTTGATGGCGGCCGTATTTGACAGGCTCGTTCGATGATGCGAACGGGATTGAAATGAAAGAAATGGAAGATGGATTATATGAGAAAGAAAGAATTATGAAATAGCAGAATGTCGAACCGAAACGAATTTCAAAAATCTGACAATGCGAATGACGTCAAAATGAAAGAACTTATGTACTTAACTTTTTCTTCACCCATCTTTTTTTCTGTTTATTATTTTCAAATTTTCCTTTTCCTTAATACTCATTGAACTGAGTTTCAATTACACCCAGCAAAAATCAAAATATTTTATAAGAAATTTGTTGACCATTTTACAACGGCATTTAAAGCTTTTTTTGTTCAAATTGAAAAGACTTCCTCCTTCGCACACTTCTCTCATGCTTCTTTATCGTAGTTATCATTATGTTCATAAATTTCCATACATTTTATGTCGTTGCCAATGCATTGTTTTCCGGCGTTTCCTCTGTGAACTTTTATAACTATATTCATAAAAATATTACTAATTTTGGTTTATAATTTTTTTCCATCTTGCTATTGCTGAATATCAAAAAGGAATTAATAAATAATAAAAAGTTAGTTACAATTTTAGTGAATGGTTCTTGCAAATAATATTATTTTGTGGTTGAAATGACTTGATCGTCGGCAGGAACTACAGTATATTTTGCTTTGCTGCCTTTATGCCTAAGTGCACATTTAAGATACCTACCCGAAAATGCGCATCTGAGACATTATTTTTTAAATTTATAAGGAAACTGCTCTGATAGATGCATTCAACATACATGCACATTGGCGATACCTGCCTTAAAAATTATGCAACTAGTATCAATTATCAAAGAAAGTATTACGTTTACCTGCACTGGCCCTACAATTACCTTATTTTACAAGCTTTTATTTATTTTGCTCATATCGCAGAACAAAGAAAATGGCTATCAATTTATGTAGTTATAATAAGAAACCATTCGAAAAAAATTTCGCTTGCATTATTTTCTACGTGATAAGTGCTTTTCCATTATTTGGTTTCATAGGGATTCGGATAACTTCCTCATTGAAGTAGTAAAGAAAATTCGCTTAAGTGCCTTTTTCGGTTAGGTGCACAAGTTTTTCGTGCAAAGAAGGATGTGCAGCTAAGCAAAATATACTGTAATCAACTTTTTTGCCTAAACCAAAGCAGACGGGAAGGAAAAATAGTTGTTCATTAACGTATTTATCTGAAATATCGTTCTTGAAACACGCTACTGCTTACACTGAGGGAAATAATGCATAGTAAAAATTAATACTTTATATTTGATTATCGTTTAAAAATGTTCGAATTTAAAAATAATATTTTCATACAAAATTTATTACGCACGTATTTGACTGTTCACATCTGAGTATTTACATATATGAGTGTACATACGCACCCCAAGCATGCAGAGCGCCGCTCTGTACATACATACATGTTTATCCGTACAAATCGCGTGCTGTGGTGTTGATGGATATTCAACATTTGAAAGCAAATTTATATGCCTGGGTGTAGCTGAGTGCGCAAAGATGCTTGCCACAAGCTGTTGATGTCCGGAGATGGTCGGGTTCGAATTCCGCTGCAGGCAACATGCAAATTAAATTTTTTTTTTTTAGTTTTTGTCTTGATTATTCACTTCACGGATGCTTTTTCAGTACGAGCGCGGTCATTTTAATATGCGCGTAATTGAATTGAATATTTACCAATATACAGTACTTTCGTTGACGTTTATAGTATGATCCATTACGTTTCTATTTGATTTTAATATTTTTTTCCCTCAGTGTACTAGTTTGTAAAAATCAAATTTTATCACTTAATTGTTATATTTTTCTTCATTGTGGTAAATTTCCACATCACAGCAGCTGGCTGTCAAACTGAAACCAAAAACGATAGCAGAACGCTCAGGGCGCAATCTTCTTTTCTATAATTACTGTACTGATACTTTGAATTTCTCAATTTTGGCAATTCTGATCTAAAAGTAAACGTAACCTCAGAAACTTTAAATGCAATGAAACTCACTAATACCCACTTCCGCAAAAATCACCTTTTTTCGTATTTTCCTTGTTAAAAGTTATTGTAAATCATATATTTTTATCGCCTTATTCCTAAAAAATAAAAACTTTAGAAAGCTTTTTAAATTGCCGTTTACAAACATTTTTCAATTTATAAACCTATAAAACACGTTCCTTATCGAAAAATGTATTATTAAGAAAATTGGCTGTTCTCACATTTACTTTCAACATCCAATTCGACTTTGTTTACTATTTGTACAGATATGTCATCGCCGCCAGGACGGCGCAATCTTGTTTTCTATCTTTCTTGTCAAATGTGCATTTAGATCTAACTGTCATACTACTATTAATGGTAACCCATGAACCAAAAATACAAGATCACCTAATCAAAGAAGCAAGAAAAAAGTATATTTCTGAGTGTTTTTGACATCTGCCTAAGAATGAAAACAAACAAAGAAAACGAAAAAGGCGCGGTGATTGAGTGCGATTAAATTGGTATTTATTATAAAATATACAAAGTGAAACTTGGTGACAATTAGCAAAAACAGTTCATAAAATATGGTTTTCATGATTGAAAGTGTTTTACAATCGCATATCATTACCACGGGTCGATTTTTCAATGCCAACGTTCTGGCCACAAACGTGCACCCACTTTTCACGCAAATTTACGCCTTTTGGCAAACCAAACGTACGCACAAACTTGTTCCGATCACACAGCACTTTATTTTATATCATAAATATGTAATAAACCAAAATTTATAATTAAAATCGCTGCAGAAAACACATTCGATCGCTAAAAAATCACTACGAAGAGGTAGAAGACGGTGTAAACAAAACCGAAAAACGTCAAAAACGCTACGAAAACTTTTTTCTGAAAATCATGAATTATTTTTTTCACCGGCAGGCATAGTTGCCAACTTGGTGCTTTAAGCACTAGATTTAGTACTTTTTGAAAATTAAAACGCCATAAAAAATTATTTAGTGCCTAGTACCTTTTTTATTGCTTTTTTCTGAACTAAAATTACTCCGATATAGTTAAAACTTGAAATAAGTTTTAAATATTTAAAGCTGTGGCAGCACTGAATTTACAAAAATCTACAAATTTAAGTGCACTTAAATTGATAAAAAGCTGAACTTGCAAATTCACCATGTTCAATTCTATTCGCCATGAAAATGCTGGTAGATATGCGAGTAAGTTAAGTATTTCTTTTTTTCTTTTCTAATTTGTAAAAATTTTTATTTTTGTACCACCTGAGTAAAACACATCGTTTCTTGGTGCTGAATCCAAATCTGGCCGCACAATTGCTCTAGCACTAGAATTTTGGGATATCCTAACCTCAAAGTGCCAAAATCTCGGTTTTTGGCGATATTTGAGGTTATATAATGAAAATAAAATTTGTTTGTGCTCATTTCTACTTAGGACATGATTTTCGTTTGTTGGGATTCGATTTTTCTTTCTTGAGATATATCAGTTTTAATGTGCAGTACTTCGGTATTACGTCGCTTTTCAATCGTTATGAGCGAAAAAGTTTTGTTTAATGATTTATGTATGCATTCTTGTAACTATTGTTAATTTTTTGTTTTTGTTAAATACATACAAACTGTTATGAAAGAAGCATCAATTTATTCAAAACCATTTGGTGCTTTTAGTGTGGTAAAACGCTTTTTTCCAAGTTTTTGGTGCTTTTTGAAAATCAAAAGTTAGCAACACTGCCGGCAGGCACGAAAATGGTATTCAAAACAGAAACAATTCGTTCGATTTTACAAAAATGACGTATCAAATTAAAGGGATTGGCCTCTAGATTTGCAGTAACATTTTTTTTGCCATCTGATAAAAAAATTTATTTCAAATTAATTATAAGTTAAATAAATTATTACAATATGGTTATCGAACAAAATGCTTTTGAAAAGGCTTTATTTCTTAATTATATTTAGAAGCGTTTCCACCAGTTTACAAAGTTAAATTCAATAAATAAAATAGTTAAAATCAGTTAATACAATTAAAATGTCTTTGAAATAACTTTATTTCCAAACTAAATGTAGAAGGATTGCCACCTGTTTTAAAAATTAAATTCAACTTGAGTTGAGATAATTAAAATATGGGTGTCGGACGAAAAAGGTTTTAATTGCAAAATATTTTGAACAGAGTTACCACCTGTTTATAAAGTTAAACTGAGTGTATACTATTGGCTATATTTCTTTTTTTATTTAATAATTAATATTTTTCCTGGTCAAAGCAACATCGCAAAAAAATATAGAAAAAAAGTTTTTTTCTTAACAGCGGTCGTCCCTCGGCAGGCAATGGCAAACCTCCGAGTGTTTTTCTGCCATGAAAAACATCTTCTCATAAAAATACAATCGCCGTTCGGAGTCGGCGTAAAACTGTAGGTCCCTCCGCTTTGTGTGACAACATCAAGGTGCACGCCACAATTCGGAGGAGAAGCTCGGCCAAACACTAACTAATGTGTAAGCGGCAATCTATTATTATTATTATTATTATTATTATTATTATTATTATTATTAATTAATATTTTTCTATAAATGTCTAGCTCATTATACATATAACATCGCGCGAATTTTAAAAACAAATATAAATATATTCGCGAAACCATGGGCCAAATATAGTAAAATTGCGTTTTTAGTTTTTCACTCAGACGTCAGTAATTCAAAAATGATTTAAAAAATTCAGAAAAATTTGCTTAGAGAAGAAGTATGAATATCAAATTAAAGAGGAAATCCTGTAGAATGCAAACAGATTCAACTTTTGGTGCAGAAGGACTAGTAAGTATTGAAAATGTCCTTTTAAAATTTTATCCTTGAATTCTCGCAATACTTGTTTTTGAAAAAATTATATGTTAAGGACTAATATAAACTCGGTAGCATCCTCGAATTTCGTCCTTTTAGCTTTATCAGCTTAAAAAATTACCTATTCGTCCTTGTGAATCCAAAAAATTTTAAGTTTTTTAAATTCTAAAGACATTTCCTCTTCCATTTGGTACCCATAATTTTATTCTACATTGCATTGAATTTTTTAAATAATTTTTGGAATTCATCATATCTTTGAAATCACAAAGTCCTTTAAAATAAATCCTGACCTCAGAGAGAAAAAATAAAAACGCCACCTAAAATAAAAAGTAGGTTTCAAACCCATTTATTTATTATTTATTTATTGGTAGGAGAGCTTCTCAAACAATATAGAAGCAATTTTTCCGGTTTAAGTTGTTGAAAAGCAATGAATATCTAAATCCCGGTACCCCGGGATTGTGATAACGACATATCGAAAATCCCGGGATTGGAAAAAGTTGAAAAATTAACATCTCTAGTTGGCACCCGTTTTAAAATTTTAATGAAACTTGAATTAAGGGAATTAGATAATTTAAATATGTATTACAATACGTGTGTCATACAAAACGGGTTTAACAAGGTTTTGGTTCAAAAATATGGTTGCCACCTGTTTATAAGTTTAAATTCAATGTATGCCATAGGTTAAATAAATTACTTCATTAAGGATATCAAGAAATCAAGAAGAAAATAAACAACTTCAATATTATAATCAAAATGGCTTTAAAGAAACTTTTTCCTCAAAACAAATGTAGCAGGGTTGCCACCCATTTTAAAATTTAAATGCAACTTGAATTAAGGGAATTAGATAATTTAAATATGTATATTTGGGTGTCGCACGTAAAATGTTTACAAGGTTTTAGTTTGAACACATTTTTGGAGTGTTGCCATCTGTTTAAAACCCCGAATTTATTTAAATTATACATAGGTTAAATTATACATAGGTTACCGAAAGATTATTAGGAAATATTTAGCTTGAGGGCTGCCACCTGTTTAAAAAGTTAAACTCAATTTATTTAAAAAGTTACAGAAATCATTTAAAGATGGGTAGCACTTGAAATTGGATTAAAATTCAATCCAATAAAATCAAAAGGAATGTTCAGTTTTTAACCTGAATGTGCTCTTAATATGATCACGTGTTCTACGCTTAAGTTTAGCGGCTGTGGTTTTGTCACAGCCCGCAGGGCAATACGAAGGCGCTGGACTGATCCTTTTTTTATACAAAATTTAAGCATTTCTATACGACACTATAGAAAATTACACATAGAATCCATCGGTGCTATATGCTCATAGTCGAAAAAATCTTCCATACAAATTAACCCGCCCTAATATAGATACTTAGAAGAAAAAAAATTATCAAATTGCATCATTTAGGATTGTCTCATAACTCAATTCCTTATCAACCTCTTCAACAATTTCTTACAATGCTAACAAAGGAGTCTGCTTACAACGTTTTTACTGCGTTTATCTCTAATCCACGGCCACTGTATTTTTCATTTCACTGGCTTCTGAATAACTGGAATAATGTAGACAGTCGTCAATACAGTGACCTGGATCACTGGACTAACACGCTAATGGCGCAATATAGTCTGGGCATAACGTATCTACTTTATTATTTTCAGATTTTTCAAAACATCTGACTTCAACGAGGAATTGATTATGAAAACAATTGGCATTTTACAAATTAACGGTCATGAAGTTCCAGCCACTGATCCTCCACATGTTGCAGTATTTAATAATGCATCGTTTTTGGAGCATTCTTGTTATCCCAATTTGGCAAAGAGTTTTACAAAGGATGGAGGCTTAATCCTATGGGCTCCACATGCAATTAAAAGGAATACGCATTTAAGCATTTGCTACTCAGATGCTGTTTGGGGAACTGTAGAGAGGCAGCAACATCTCATGCATACAAAATTATTTAAATGCGCTTGCATAAGGTGTATGGATGTAACAGAATTTGGAACTAATTACGATGCCTTTCATTGCACCGAATCCAATTGTGAGGGAGTCATTTTACCGCTAAGCACAAAGGATTGGAATTCTAAATGGAGGTTGGCGATAAAAAAAAATAAAGCCCTGCGTTAACATTGTACATATAAATTCCATTATTTCCGCAGTTGCTTAACATGTGGAAACCAAGCTGACATATCATTTGTAAAGAATATTTTAGAAAAGGCTGGAAAAGATTTGGGGGCAATGAGCAAAACTGTGGAAAATTGTATCAAGTAAGTTAAAACGCAAATCATATTGGTCGTTTACTGGAAGAATTTCCTAACGAACAAAATTATGTGTAAGAAACTCATAATGGCATGATTCAACGTGGTTTATAAGTAGTTAATTTTTAAAACTTACGACAACTTCGGTATTCCATAACTAAACCGTAATATACAAATCAAAAGTTACTTATTAATCATGTACTACTGGATAAAGGAGCGATCAAAACCCTTAACTAACGCAATTTAGTAGAATCAATCTTTATGTCGCTAGCTTAGAGTGAAAAGTTGCTAGGTGCACTTTTTCTGAAAACTCATATTTTGATACAGGAGACAAGAAATATTAAAAATGCATTGTTTCGATAACGATAAAGGGACTTGTTTTATTATTCTTCATTTTTATTCAATGAAATGAAAATTTTGTGAGTCCAAAAGAAGCACCGAAAATCCGGTATAAGGTATATATCAATTCAGTAATAACACACTTTTCATTAAATATGTAAAAAAAAAATATTGTAATTACTTCCACACTTATTTTAGAACCCGAATTTTCGTAATTCGTAGCTACGTAGGGTTGCCAGATTTAGAAACGGAGAAAGGAGTACATTTATATTTTCGATAGAAAAAAAGCAGTACAAGACCTAAAAAAGGAGTACAATTTTTTTTTTTTAATTTTTTGTGCAATTTATTGTTACAAATTACCATTAATTAGGTACAAATAAACAAAGATATTTTAGAAATCTTTTTCAAAGCAACAATAAATGTTAAAAATAAATAACTAAATGGGCTGGCTTTCCAATAAGGGCGGTCGTTAAAGAGATGGTGATCAAAGGGGGAGTGGGCGTGGCACCCAATTGTGATATTTGGCGATTTTTCTAAGGCGTCCCTAGGGACCCATAAGGGGCCTAGGTGGTCGGGGGTGCTACGCCCACTTCCCCTTCGCTCACCACCTCTTCAATGACCGCCCTTATAGGAAATTTTCCCCAACTAAATTCTACAAAAGAATTTCAAACTCTTTCTTAATATATGGCCAGTTTTTTAATTTAAGCCTTATAATTAATTTAATATTTTTCTGATTTTTATACCCGAGCGCTCCGCACCTAATTTGCTACGACCATGCCTACACCTTTTCACTATCACACTTAACTTTGCTTACTAAGTAGTGTTTGCCACAATATGAATGGCAAAGTACAGGGCGTAAGATAATAACTTTCACACAGGTTTTTTGAAAAATAAAAGGGTCCTTTATAGATGTTGCGAAAAAGAGTATTTTTTTGTTAACTTTGTAAATACTTTACATTAATTTTATTAATTAGTTTTAAAATTTTAATCCTTATTTGCATTTGCCAGCTTTGGGAGATAAATTCATGCGGCACTCACGTCTGTATGTGTTGGTCGCCCTCCTAGTCACCGGTTCGGAGTATTTTCGATTGCTATGTATGAGGCCTTATGTTGGACAAAAGACGGAGTATAAAGGACCCAAATGGGGGAAATTAGCCTATATTTACAGAAGATATGTAATAAAGTAACCGATGAAGACTTGCGTGCCGCTTGCGCTTTTCTCCCAAACCCGCTGGTAAACCCAAATGAAGGTTAAAATTTAAAAACGAATTAATAAAATTTTCGCAAAATCTATAAAGGTCCCTATTATTAAAAACAAAAAAAAAAAAAACTGTGCGGCAGTTATTATTTAACACCCTGTATATGATAAAATATTAATAGCTGGAAAAAGGAGAAGAAAAGAAGTACAAAACTAATAAAGGAGTACATTTCCATATATTTTTTTTGGGGAGTACAAGGGAGTACATTGCAATAAAAAGGAGTACGTATACTCCCAAAAGCGTACCCTATAGCTACGTTACGAAAAACTAAAAATCGACATGCTGCAACCCTTGCGGAAAAATGTGCGGCATTGCCAGCTATCAGTTGTTTTTCGAAGTCAGCTGTATGAAGGAAAACAAATTAAAAAGGTAAAAAAGGTAGTAAAATTGGTTCATTTTACACATTTAGAGGAGAATTATGGATTCTATGCATTTGCAATTATAGCAGTGGAGTAAGAGCGCGCTATGGCAATGGATTCACAAAGGTATGCGGAGCTGTCGGGCAGAGTAACCATGGACGCATCTATGTCAGCTTCTGGTTGAATTGTTGAGCCACAAGCTATAACTTCTGCTATGCCTGAAGAACTGGTTCTCAATCCAGTTAATGCAATAACAGCTTCTTCCAAGCCATTGAAAATATGCATTTTGTTAGGTCCACCACCTGGTTGCGATTGATTCTGCCTTCGGCCGCGCTTAGGGATTGTAAGCCTTACTAATGAGAATTATCTTTTCTGTGTTGCTGTAGAAGAGGGCGGGAGCTCCTCTTCTACTGTGAAAGGTATACAGCATTTATTTTGCATATAACGCCGGCTACGCCATCCACAGTATCTTTGCGCAGAACCCACATCGAAATTTACAAAAAAGTGCATGGTTCAAACCGAATTTATTAATAAACTGGAAGTTTGGAATCTTTGTTTTAGACTAAAGTTCAATCCTCACAAAGTCCCAAAATATGTGTGTAATGCCGTGATGATAAAGTTGCCACAATTGCGCTTTTTTTGTTCAATTTGAAACCAAAAAGTACATTGACACCACATAGACCGTTTCGGTACAATTTGGAAATGCAGCGCTGTGTGTATTTCGATTGGTTTTATATTTACGCTGGTTAAAAACTTCTGCTTATTTATACAAATACATTATTCCTCCTTTACTCCATACAAACTTGGACAAAATTTGTATTACATTACGAGGTTGGCAATTCTGATTTCTTAAAGAAATGGTTTTGTCTTTTTCTTCCTCACATCTTTTCTACCGGAGCACGAAAACTTAACAAAATTCAAATATATTCAAGTTTTGGGAACGAATTAAATTAATGAAAAACAAACTGAACGACCCGATGTTTGCAAACATTTTTAAAATACCTTTATTGTCTATTCCGCATTTCTCCGCAAATATTAAATATTAACGTATCTTTTCTGTTCAGAATCTGATAAAAACTAAACGTAGAAACAAATTACAAGTAAAAACCCCGAGGGTTAATAAAGGCAAAAGTTTATATCAAACCTTCTCAAAGACTTTGTCATGATATAAAAATACATACAGAGTCTTTAAACCAATATGTGGCTTAAGATCTCAAAGAAAGTGAAATGCTTGACTAATGTTTATTCTACTTTTAGTACATATATGTATATTTCTACAAGATGTTTATTTAAAAGGCTTTAAATAAATGCATATTTGTTTTAAGCATTCGTTGTTTTTGCGAAAGCGTTTAAAATTTTTAGTTGGTACATTTTTATTTGATTTGGTAAATTTTTTTCTGACGTTTGTTACAATTTCGAAAATTTCATTTATCATCCCTGATGTAATGTAATAACTTCGCACAGACTGCTCCGATTTGAAAATGGTTTTTTGTATTTTAAGGGCCAGTATGCAGCTCTCAAGAAAACAGTCAAGAAAAAAAATTGCAATTATTTCGTGTGTGTGTGTGTCCAAGGAATTTCGACATCTGATACGTCACAGCCTGTTGCCTGACTCTTTCCTCAAGAAATAATGGAATGGAGTATTTCTGTTGCGAACATGGGTTGCCTTGTGCTATTTTTTCACAAAAAACTTTAGAAAACCGTACTGCGTACTGCCTTAAGGACATTTGACACAAGACGTACGTTATTTTATATGGAGCTTATGCTTTTCTTGAGAGCTGCATACTGGCCTTAAAGCTTAGCTATCTGGGAGGGGATATTTGAAGGAACCTATAAATAGGGCGTGTCAATATGCCAAAATGTGGTACAAATCATGAAATCATGTTTAAAACTGCAAGAAATCAAAAACGAATAAATCGATTGAAATACTTCTTCTTTGCAGTTAAACTTTGAAACGATTACTTACGTTCTGCATTAAAAAAATAGTTAGTTATTTTCTAATATAACAAAAATTAGTGAAACAAAAGTGATACTTTAAAAAACAAATGGCTGTTTGTGTGTGTGTTCGCTGTGTGCCAAATGTACCAAGCTGCGTTATGGGCTGTTTTTGCTTATGCATAAAAGCACATTTAGCGCATTTAGCTCTAAATGCTACTCTAAATGTACATTTATCCATGCGAAATTCGTTACCTAAATGCAGTTAAATGCAACTCCATTTTTGCATTAAGAATCTAAATGCTAATAGCAACCCTGTGATCTTCCAAAATATCCACGATTCGGACATGGTTTAATGATAAAAAGTGGAAACATTGCTTTTTCGCGTATACAGTGGCTAGCTGCGTTTCAGTGATCGCCGATCGAGATTTCATTTATTATTTTGCATTATTTGGATAAACAAAAGTTACGCAAATTCAACATCGATGTGATAATGATAGAAATCTGGATCAATTTGTGATCAACTCTGTTCGTTTTGTTTCCTAATTAAGTGAGGAAATTTTAATTGACAGCACCAACAAATGAATATATACACAAACAAATGTTCGGTTATGGTTAAAACAATTCAAGTTTTTGTATTGAATTTTTGGTTTAAAATTTTTTTCTTTTCAGTAGGGTTTTTGCACATTATATTTTCTGTGAGAATCGATCGTAATAGATACGGAGAGCGACTGGAACACGGCTGTTTGTCAAAAGCATACGATTTCGAGCTCGCGTAAATGTGCAATTGCTAAATGCGATAGCATGAACGCTCTTCGAAAACATATGTTCGAAAGTGCAAAATCTTGCATTTTAAATGCAGCAAAAACTCTGCATTAAGTGTTAGCCATGCCATATTTGAAGAACAGTGGCAAGGCGAGTTCACACTAGTTGCGAAATAGTCGGAATCAGTCAGATTTTACTGGAAATCGATCCCGTACTCGGTTCTCTGACTATTGAGAGGACAAAAAAGAGAGTAAATACGGTTCTCTTTCTGTCAGAAGTTACCAGTTAAAGTCCGAGAATTTTTCGCTGGTAAATTCTGATAAATGCTTCAAACGATCAGCTGTAGTGTGTT